CCAGATTAGAGTCCACACACTTAACAATTACACTAAACTGGCTCTCAAGCTAGCATTCTCAAGCCCCAACCTGGATAGCCCAGGGTAGCCTGATCTTGTTAGACCTTGAAAGCTAAGTAGGGTCAGCCCTGGTCAGTGTTTGGATGGGAGACCACCAAGGTCACTCTACAGAGAAAGACAATTGCAAAGCACCTCTGAAGGTCTCTTGCCTTGAAAACCCTACAGTGTTGTCATAAGTTGGCTGCTATTTGACGGCAAAGCAAAAAATTGTCAGGCAACTTTCTTTATGAAGCAATCCAGGAGAAACTCATTACTTTGAGCTGGCAGTCAACCCTTCCATCAGAAGTTGAGAGATTGTACCTGAGGCTATCCCTTCTCATTTTCTAATAGAAGGGGCACCTGTAAACAGTTTGGGACTGGATAAAGGCTGAGGACTAATGAGGTAGGCCAGTAGGAATCTAGAGTCTCACAGGCGATAAAAGTTGATTGTTGCGAGACTAAATTTTGAAGGGAACGAATAGCTTTAAAATCTACTTAATTATATAGATGCTTCAAATGCATGAAATATGCAAAGCAATTTGCTGTGTTGGACAATCTGAACTTTTAATAGATCAAGTTCATTGCTGTGTCAAGAAAAAGCAAGAGTCTGATTCTTTCAGATCTAGGTCATAGAACAGTAGATCTAGGTCATAGAACTAGTATCAAAACATGGCCTATGCTATACTTTGGAAAGTGTTCAAAAGTATAGCACAAGGCCTCAGGCTATCCAATTTACCAAGATGTAGATGTGTTAGATGCTACTGCCTCTGCTTCTGTTTCTTATAAGAGGCCATTCTTGGCCACTTCATATCACACTGGACTCAACCTTGGACAACCTCCAGCTGGCATATATTTCCCCCCTTTACTAGGTACTATATTCACACTATTGTTTAAATTTCAATATTATGGTTAAAGCCTTGTGCACATTGCTATTTATGATCAAAGAGGCTCACAGTAGGAGCTAACTTTTGGACTCTTACAGAACAGAGAACAACATGAGAATTTAATTTCTATGTTCCTCTACCCCTCCCCCTGCTCATTCTTCCCTCCTACTCCTTTTGCAGTATAAAGGAACACTAATTATCGGCTATGAACATACATGAATCAAAGGCAGCAATGGCCCAATACAAGTGTGGGATGGTGAACTTGGTTGAGCTGAAGAAGAAATGAGGACTTATGGAAAGAACGTACATAATTGACAGTCAAGTTGAGTAAATGGACCTGGCGTATTTGTGCTGTCAACTACATGTCAGTAAAAACTGAGGAACGATTTATATACACCCACTAAAAAAAACAAATTACATAGCCAATCTCCTCGAAATTAAACACATGTTTTTCAAGGGTACCCCAAGGGAGGCTTGGAAATTTTCTCTCTCTGACTGTGTAGTAGGTTTCTAGAATATTATGGATACTACTGAAATCCAAGTCGTAAATTAAGATTTTAAAAAGAACCCTGGCGTATACCATAGCCCATTGATTGAGCGGTTGTTGTTCAAGCAGCTGAGGGGGCAGAAAGTTTATTTTTAAAGGCTTTTTCAAGATTGAGCTGCCAGCAAATAACAACTGGTTATCAACACTAATAAGCCATGATGTTCTGGGTGGAAAATGTAATTTGGCCTTGTATCATTCCACAGTTTGGCATGGTTATTGCAATAGCTGTGTGGGGGCCGGAGCTGCTGGAAGGGAATGGATTTCTGACTCCATCATGAGACTGAGGGTATTAAAGACAGACTGCTAACTGTAGAATACACCTCCATTGGGCTTCGTTTGGGGGAGTTTTGTACCAATATAATTTCATTCCAACACAGAAGGGTGAAAACTTTGTTGTACAATGAAACTCTGTACCAGCACGGACTGCTTCATTTATTTCGGCTTCAGCAGCTCTGCATGCAAGCATATTTGCAAAATACTATCCGACATTGAAGTGAAGAGGGCAGGCAGCCCTTGCTTGCACAAGCTCTTTGCACATGGAAGCTTTGGATTAGGGTGAAATAGGAACTGCTGTGTTCCCAGAAAGCTTTCTTTCATAGGCTGTATGTGCCTGCAGTTATATGTAGGATTCCTATTTATTCATTTAAAGCAAGTTTAGCTGGCCTTTCTCCAGAACTGAACTCAAGCCAGGTTGCTCCATTAAGTTAGAAGAAATTCCATGTGTTTCACAGGAAACACCAGTAAAAGGTTCCACCTAGGCAGAAGGGCTTACTAGAATGCTCTGTTATAAGGCATTAACATTTATACTGCTTTAATCGGTATACTGGGATGAGTTGGTACCTGCAACAAAATGCTGTGGATTGATTCAGCTTGCCCAAGAGTGGCTGCAAAGGTGGAACAATGGCTACCTCTGTAGCAATCTTCAGGGCTTAAAGAATGCCTGCCAGGATTGCCCCAGCAGGCACCACTCTCTAACCCTGAGGGTGGACCTATGGGAAGTGCTGAGATAGGGAAAATACCATCCCTCTCATAGCCCCCACTTCTTTCCATCTCCCCCACACACTGTCCCTCCCTCTGCAATGGGAGCTGATGGCATGGCCAGCTCTACCAGTTGGCTAGTTGATTGGGGGGGGGGGGTCCTTAAAGCTGAAAGTATGGAAGCTGTCAGCTCCAAACCTTCCCCAATCAGCTGGTTAATAGTGTTACATGGGGTTGCCTACCAACCCCCAAGATGGTGGCCAAGATGTCATGACATAGTACTGTGAGATCTCTGTTGTCATTTATTTACCTCAGTTCTGGGTTTTTAACTCACCATTTTTTTAAAAGTTTCAGACTTTTCTGCAAAACTGGGAAATACTCCACATTTGTAGAAATATTCTAATCGGTCCCTGTCCCCATGGTGCTGGTTTTTGGATTCACACTCTGAGGCCATGTTCAGAATGAAATAGGAAGATACAAAGCAGTAACTGCTTGTTTTCCAAACCGCACAGAACAAAAAAGAAGTGACTAAAAGGTATTTAACAGTAAGGATCGAAGTACATGTGTCTTGCAGTCATGAAGATCGCACTTATGTACTTTAAAGAAAAGCAGCTTCGGTCAGCAGGGCTTTGAACTGAAGGAAAGGGAGGACAGAGGGTGTTTAACCATTTCCCCACCTAAATTTCCCCATTCTAAATAACCCCACCTCCCAGCTGATTTCTTTCTCAGGGGTTTTAAACTGTATGCAGACAAAAATCAGCTGGAGAGTGATTTGGAAGGAGAAGCTAGAGACTGGGAAAGGTTAAGCATCTCCCTCACACTCTTCCCCATTCCAAATTCCACTTCCCCAAAGCTTTCCCCCCCCAGTTTAAAAGGGGGATTTTTGAGCTATTTTATATGCATTTGCATGAACTGTGCAACAAGCCTGTGACAAAGTGAACTTTGACTGACGACACCTTATCTATGGAACATTTTGTTGGTCTTCAAAGTGCTACTGAACTCAGCTTTTGTTCTACCACCTGAAACTAACATGGCTACCCACCTGAAACTATTCCCCAAGTTCCTTTATAGGATGCAAAGTGGACATTAATTATCTGACATTTTGTCCTCTGTCATCATAACAATGTTGAAGATTTGTTTGTTTGTTTGTTTTGGGGTTGTGTTCTAGCACCTGTTTTATTTATGGCCTTTATAATAAACTGGAGGGGGTGACTTCCTTGTTGAGATGTCAGTTTCTCCCTTTATGTGCCTTGATATTTCTGTCTAAAACATATTGAAAGCTTAAATAGATTTGGGAATAACTGTCAAAGAAGAAATATGAAATGGAACTCTGGGCAAGCTCTCATGAATTCTCTCCTTATATAAACTTGTGGGGAAATGATTTTAGGTTAATATTTCATTTTGCTTTGGACACTATTAAAATTGCTTAAATTAGGGTTAAATTAGATCAGCAATGTTGAAGAGGTTATAGCAGTGCTGGGAATTACCTTTGTATGTTGTAGTTCAGTCATTGAAAAATGCGCACGAGTAAGTGGACTAATAAATGTTATCATGAATGTTCTGGATGACCTGATGATTATCCCAGAAAAGATATCCATATATTTTTGAACACTGGATCCTCAATCTCAATCCTAAACAGTTATACCCTTACAAGACCATTGAACTCAGAAGCATCTAACTCTGTTTAGGACTGCACTGCAGTGTTTGGTCTGACTTTCACATGCCTCAGTCAGAGGTCTTTCCCAGCCTTCCTTCATATTCTGTACTGCTAAGCCATGAGTCCTCTGCATAGTATTACCCTTTTCCAAAATAATAGGTAAGTCTGAGAGGAAATACGAATTTCCACAAGCCAGCATGGTGTAGTGGTTACCAGCTGTGGACTCTAATCTGGAGGACGGGGTTTGATTCCCCACTCCTCCTCCCCATGAAGCCTGCTGGGTAAGTTTGGGCCAGTCACAGTTCTCTTAGAGCTCTCTCAGCCCTACCTAACACACAAGGTGCCTGTTGTGGGGGGAGGAAGAGAAGGCGATTGTAAGCCGCTTTGAGACTCCTTAAGGTAAAGAAAAGAAGGGTATAAAAACCTACTCACTGGCAGTCTTTAAGCAGTGTCTAGACAAACACTTGTCAGGGATGCTCTAGGCTGATCCTCCACTGAGCAGGGGATGGGACTAGATGGCCTGTATGGCCCCTTCCAACTCTGTGATTCTATGATTCTTCCTCTCCCTTCTTTTAATACCTGTTTTGTAGAGAGTAATGCAAGTTTATTGAAAGAATCTTTTTTTTAATTACAGAACAGAGTAAGTTAACTAAAGGGCTGTTATACAAGCTTCTGTACGTTGCTGTATTTGGCGTTTATTCTGCTTCCTTTCAGAGAATGTATAGAAGTAATTCCTATCTATAGCTGAAATGGGAGTGTGTATTCATTAACCCCTTGCCTTGTAAGAAATATGAAATATTAGTCTTCTTACATAGTGCTTTGGGGATCTGTTGCATTTTCTCTGTACTATTCCATCTTGCGCCACTCCCATGTTTCAATTTGACGTTATTCATAGGAATACAACTGGAGGAACTACCAGCCAGGTAGCATGAGTGCTTCTGAACTGCAAATGTTGGCGAGTATGAAGAGGCAACAGAACGAAGAGCTGGAAAATAGCGGACCTTCTCATGGGCTGAGCGCATCTCAAATTGACAATTGTAATATCAGCATCAGCACAAGCAGTGACGACACGGCAACTTGGAACTCATGTCTCCCAGCGGTAAGCCTGAATGTATCTTCCATATTATTGAAATAGTTTCCCAGTGGAATCTCCAGGCATCCTGAGCCTCATTTAAAGTTTTGTGTAGGCTTCCATATGTTTAGCTCAGTGTTTATACACCCTATAGCAGAGGTGTCAAACTCATTTGTTACACTTTGTCAGGCCAGGCCATGTGTGCCATAAAATGTAATGCTAGGTCCCAGAGATATAAACTGTATAAAGGACAGTAGCTGGTAAGCTCTGAGTTGCTGTATCTTCACTGCAAGGCTCCATGGGCTGGGAAGGAGGTGCCAAGGAAAACCCATATGAGCAGACTGGAGAACCAGTGGTGCAGCACTGGGCAGATGCTCCCACGAGGTTGTTCCGCCATGCTGAAGCCACAATCAGAGTGTATGTGCCCCCCCCCCCCCCCCCGAACAGTCTCCTCTTCCCTCCCTTGCACTAGTTGCTTGCGGGCCGCATAAGAGCCCTGGATGGGCTGGTTCCGGCCCCCAGGCCTTATGTTTGACACCCCTGCCCTATAGGGCCAGATAAGTGCAAATACTAACATTGTTAACATGCGTTATTCATACTTTTGTGTCCATTCAGGACTCCATTTTCAAGTGATTTCCAAGCATGGTTAGTCACAGATGGGTTACAACTTCAGGAGGACTCCAAGCATGCTTGATGGCTCCCCTGGAGGGAATATAACCAAGCAGTTCAGAATTCCTTCTGATCACCATTCATTTCTAACTGCTAGAAATGTTACTAAATAGATTATTCTTACATCACAGCTCAGACAAAATGGAAAAAAAATAGAAATCCCATCATGAAGTATTCTGGTCATGTTTGCTAACTTGTAGTGTGATGGTCATGCTGTATAAAAGTAAAAATCAATCAAAATCATTATTTATTAAAATATGTATACCTCACCTTTCCTCTTGGCTCAAGGCATTGGCCCACTCTTCTTTGACTTAGCCCAGTCTACAGAAGGCCTTATTATTCTGTTTCCCAGGGGTGTTTGTGCTTGGGTGTTGGTGAGTCTGCTAGGAGAGGGAGTTCTGTAATTGATGGAGGTGAACTCTAATGTAGGTTTGGCTGTATATATTCTAGATAACAAGCAAAGCAGTCATAATGACCCTTGAGTTAAACCTTGCTTAGATATGTGTGACCAGCCCAAGCCTAACATGTGTTCTTCTCAGTAAGTATTTCTTGCGCTACCTGTTACCTCTCTGCACATATATTCAATATTACCTTCTTATTTGTGTATTTATTTTATTTCTATCCCCTACCTTCCCACATGTGGGCTCAGGCCGGTTACAACATATAAAATTAACAATCGTAAAACCAATTCTAATACTATAAAATCACTAACCCTTAATAAAAGATGACATTCTAAAAAGCACGCTATAACAGTAGGGAGGCCAGAGCCTATAAGAAATGTCTTTCTCAATGGTACAGTTCATCACTTTCAGATAGCCCCAGAGCCAGCATTACAATCCAGTGACTCAGCAATTTACAGTAATTATGGGAGGAGGGGCCAGATGGTATTTGATCTCCGCTCCCTCAACTAAAAGACTGGGGAAAGGGCTGCGTTTTACAGGCCCTGAGGAATTGTAAAAGATCCCACAGGGGCCTGATCTCTCTTGGGAGAGTGTTCCGCCAGGTTGGAGCCAGGGCTGAAAACTCCCTGGCCCTGGTTAAGGCTAGACGGATGTCTTTTGGGCTGGGAACTTCTAGTAAATGCTGAGCTAATGAGCATAAGGCCCATCGGGGCATATATGGGGAGAGGCGGTCCCACAGTGTTGGTCCCTGGCTGCTAAGGGCCTTAAAGGTTAAAACCAACACCTTGAAACGGAGCTGTATCTCTACTCTTTAGGCTTTAATTGCTTGTTTTGTTTTATTTGTAATCATTGTAATTTGCATTGAGTCCTTTTTAGGAGAAAGGAGGCCTAAAATGTCTTTAATCAATAAACAAAAAGTAATCTCTTATAAAAAGCACTTACCAGAAAACATTGTATTACCTTTGCTTTAACGGTAAGTGCTACAATGTGGAGATCTGATAACTGTGAACTAATAAAATTAATGAACTTGCACAGTAATTAATGTGTACAGCACAGTGCTGATTGTGTTTTACAATCTTTCTTCCATCTTTCTTCATTCCCCTCCTCATGAAAACTGGTGTGAGGTCAAGGTGGTCTTCAAATGGATCGTTATCTTATAAACGTACTTATCAAATTTCATTCTGATATCTCCGTCTTCAAAATTCATATCAACATGTGTTTTATAGTCTCCTTTTTCCGAAAGACTGGAGTGGAAGAAAAAAGGTTGTGGTTCGTATGTGTAATATATAGTGATATCCCGGCGATGGATGTCAACTGGTGTCTCGGTGTTTAAGGCAGATACTACATTGTTTCATGTCTTTCCACCTCTTTATGTGCCCTCTTGCAAAAGGGTCAATCTGCAATTCATCCCTCAAATGCAAAATGTCATCCTGACTTTTAGAGCAACTTTAATTCTTATATCTTAGTCTCCATGGGAGATGTTGTGTTCCATTGTATTTTACATTTTCCTTCCCGCTTTGAAAATAGGCAATGGGGGTCAAGTTGGTATCTGAATTTGAAATGTCTAATCTTTCTATAAACATATATATCAAATTGCCAACATTCCAATATTTTTATGCCATGAAAAGAAATCTTCAGTGCCAAGTGGAGGAGCTGAACTCATTACATGACCACTAGTACTACCTAGGGAGGAGAAAAGATGGTGTGGGGCATAGAGACAAGACTGGGGGAGGCTTTCATGAGAATGAGCAATATCCATCCATAGAGTCCAATAGATTCATTGGAAGGTGGAAAGGTCAAGCCAAGCAACCCAGTTTTTAGAAGGGGAGCCTTACACATAAGCCTGTGTTCTTGATGAAAAGGAGTATGAAGGTACTTCAGGGTTTTGTTTTTATATAGGAACATTCAGGACTTTTTTGGGGTGGGAGGTGCCAGAACTGTCAAGAGGGCAATGAAGTTTTCAATCAGTATACTGAAAACTCATGAACTTTTGAAGATTTTAAAAAGAATTTTGTTGAAGAGGTTCCGAAACTCCATTCCGGTGCGTTCCCCCAGGAAAAAAAAAAGCCCTGGGGACATTAAAATGTTTCTGCAAATCCTTGAGGATGTCTTTTGTTTTCTTGGGTGAGCATTTTTAGTCTTTTATCTATATATAAAAAGTACAAAGCAAAAAAGTCAGTTAGTGAAAAGACCAGTCCTACAAGGTGTATTCCACATGAGCAGACACAAACCAGATGTAAAGAGATTCTACTCGGATCAGTTGCTTTGGCATCAGAAAGTGCAATCCTAAGCAGAGTCATGCCCTTCTAAGCCCCAGTGATTTCAGTGGATTTAGAAGGGGATAACTTTGCTTAGGATTGTTCTCTGAGAAACCACCTCCAGCTTCTCTGGCTTGGCAGGGAGCAGAGGTTCTGTTCCATGTAAGATCTGACCCACAGATCAGCACACAAAGAATTAAAGATAAGAATGTGTGAAGGAAAATATCCTTAAGGTAAGACCGTCCTTCCAAAAGTGCATCAGAATATGCTCAGCAAGTCATTATACCTTTAGGTAACAGGTCTTGTACTACTTTGTATCAACCCATCCCATTGCTCTTTTTAAAAAGAATAAATTCTGACTTCTTGATTATTGGGATTTAAAAGTATAGCAGACGAGAGATGGGTCACTCACTGAGCTTTTCATCTTTTGAAAATGGTTACAGTTAAAATTCTGCAGTTTCTTTTATTTTCATTGATTCCCACCTCTCAAGATGGATATGTCTGTTGTATTGTTCTGAATATCTAGTAAAAGTTAATGTTGGAATGAAATGGGGAAAGTGCTTTCTGTATATAATGGATTGTGTTACATGTTGCATTGAATGTCTGATTGGTTCTCCCAATGTGTAGTTTAAATTTAAACGGCTGAGGTGGTCAGATCAGGGCCACAGTATGGTGGGAGAGGATTCAGCTCTTTTCCCCAAGCCATTTTCCCCAATAAAAATGCCTTCACCAAATTAGTCCCAGTTGTGGGGGGGATACATATAATATGGGCACCCGTCTTTTTTCTCTACTGGGAATACTTACTATTGAAGAAAAAGCATAAAGAGTTAAACCCCATCCCTGCACCATGCTGCCAAACTGAATTCCACTTTCTCTAGTAGTTTCCAGTTTTTAAATTAAGCTATACATTGGAACATCCATTCATTTATTTATTTATTTATTTAGATTTATATCCCGCCTTGCCTACACAGGCAGGCTCAAGGCGGCATACAACAGGTTAAAATACAATAAAACACAGATACAGAAGTGCAGTATTATAAAATTTCATGTAACAAACGATATACATAAAGTGCAGTGAACTGCAGATGGCGATTGCTGTAAGGTGGTCCGAGGTAGCTAGGCCGGTGTCCAAAGTTGTTCTGAATGCCAGTAGCATGAGGGCCGCAATAGTCCAGTTTTTAATAGCTCATTCATTGATCCCCAACCCAACATGAAGCTTAGCTATAAGATATACCTAGTTACAGATATTCTTAATATTTAATCTATGCTTGCTAGGTGGGCAAAAGCAGGATACTGAAATATTAGGACAGTAATCTAGAGATTATTGGGCAAATTGAGTGAAATAGTTTGAATTTTTCCAGTTTTCTTTAGAGGGGCTATGCCTACTTACCTACACTGATGAAAAGGGAAGCACAATTTATTACATAAGGCAGATGCATACACACACACACACACACACACTGTAACCTCCCAGAGACAGCAAGGAACTGTGTGCTAAATTACAAAATAGTAAGGTTTATGGTTGTGATGTACTGGTGTGAAACTCCAGCTCACAAATGTTTCATTAAATTGTTTTATCTTAGTATTTTTTGTAAAGCTAAGGGACGTTGAGGGTTATATCTGAAATACATTAATAGAAGGGGTGGAGAGGTAGTTAGTGTGCGGACTCTAATCTGGGAGAACCGGGTTTGATTCCCCA